ATTAAATCTGATTCCCCATAAGCTAAAATCACTAATTTGCTTCAAGCTGAACAATTAAATGAACTAAGCACAAATAGCATTAAACACTAAGCTTCCTTGTAAGCCCAACACTTAACCATAAGCCTCCACCACTAGATATACCACTTCCCTTTAAGTGGAACCCTTTCCCCACCTAATCCCACCTGCCCCTCCCACTGCACCAACCTCCTGGCCCTCCCTCTGCTCCTCTGTTTGCCCCCTCCTCTGCCCTCCAAGGAATCAGTAGGAACCAGGAATGGTATGTATCTAATTACTACAAATTGGTCAGCTGCAGCCACTGCTGTGAATCAATAGTCCAGGGAAGAAGTACTGATGCCTCCAAGGTGTGTAACACCACCTCTAATCACCTTCACTAACAGATTCAAGACACATACATAAACACTTTCTTGTTCATACTCAACATGTTTACACACAACAAATAAAACACAGGCTTCTTACAGCTTTTATATAACTACAAGATGGTTACTGTAGCAGTGGTAATTTTTACATTTAAAAACCCCAAACTGCTTGATTTTATGAAGAACTACAAATAATCACTGACCAAAGGAAAGTATGGACTTGTAAACTGGATTTGACGAAACTATATCTAACATTATCAAAACATTACAAGGCTTAAAGCCTCACACACTGCCATCACCATAAATAACCATTTCATGTTAGTTTCAGAGGCAAGGGAGGCTCAATCGTCCAGAATGACAACTGGCTGTGCAGAGTCGCCTCCCTTGGACATACCAGACACCTGTGATTGTGGGTTTGCATCCTTGTTTGCCCTGATAATGTTTCTACAGTGAGCGAATGAGTGAGTTGGGATTTACACGGCTTTTAGCAATATTCAAGCAATATCACGGCAGAAGACACCAGAAATGGGGTTCACACATTGTACCCATGTGGGGAATCAAACCCAGATCTTCGGCGTGACGAGCGAACGCTTTAACCACCCACCCATTTCTACAGTTGACAGCACCATACCTACTTGTGTGGTTCACAGAAGTGTTAAACATCCCAGACCTGCATCACTTTCGGCTTTTCTCCCACGTTAAGCTGGCGTAAAGTGATAAAACAGCAATACCGCTAAAATGGTTCTAAATCCATCAATCACTCTTGTGTGTTTCATGTTTAGCCATCATCAAACTTGGGTACATACTTTCTTTCACCTGGTATTTTAGTAGTGTCACTTTCTAATGCAGACAAAAAGAAGCATCCCTGTGATGGTAGTCACTGAAGCAAATCTGGTCTAATTGGCACCAAGCAAGCATCCACTCCATGGGGTGTGTCTGCGGACAGTCCTGCTGTGTCCACAGCCAATTGCAATTATCCTCAAGACTGTACGGTGATTCCGACTTGCACCTCATCCAACTGATTGAATCCAAATTCCTCATACAAGTGCCGACCCTATCTTTTTTAGGGGGTATGAATAAAATAAGCTTTCAGATACCATTGTTTTTATCCGTCACCGACGGACACCGGTGACTCTGATAGAGAAAGTTGACATGATGGCTGCAAGCTGGATTGAATAAACAATTACACATTGATAAATGTGTTATTAGTTTGTACTTTACTTTTATAAAAATGTAAAAAAAATATCCTACCTACCTACCCTAAATTTCAAAGAGGTGTAATCGGAACCACAACATTTTTTTTATTTGGCCTTATAATTGGTCTCAAGCAAGCCATGACTGTCATTAAGCGACAAATGGGGTAGGGTGGTGAGGACTGCTGACCTGGATGCTCATGATGTTGATCACTGGATTGTCTGGTCCAGACCCAATTATTTACAAACTGCTGCCATATAGTGGGAATATTGCTGAACGCAGTGTTAAACAACAAACAAACAAACAAAACATTATTGTTTGAGTTCATGCATTACCTCTCCATGTCATCACCTTCATGTACCTATCAAACCAATCAACATAAAACAAGTACTTATCAACATGCAATATTCCCTCCATGCCCAAATAGCTTATATGTAGCAATTGAGTATTGTTTTACTGCACCTTTAGCAATGTACCCATAATATAGTGAGGGCTACACACTTTGTGCGTATGTGAGAAATTGTACCAACGCCTTCAGCAAGACCAGCAAACACTTCAACCAGGCCTAAAAAAAATGTTGTGGTTCCGATTACCCGACCGACCCTTGAAGTCTGGTGCCTACCCTAGTTTTTTTAAGAGGTCTGAATAAAATAAGCTTTCAGATACCATTGTTTTGGCCCCGGCACCAATGGACATCGGTCATTGTGAAGAGAAAGTCAACATGATGGCCAAGCTTGATTGAATAAACAATTATACATTGATAAATGTGTTATTAGGTCATACTTTACTTCTAAAAAATGTAAAAAAAAAAGAAATAATTCCTACCTACCTACCCTAAATTTTAAAGAGGTGTAATTGGAACCAAAACATTTTTGTATTTGGCCCCACTAGGCTACCCTGTCACCATCACTGCTGCAGCAGGGAGTCCAGAGTGTTTTGTTTGTTTGTTGATTAAAGATACACAGCAATATTCAAGCAATACGACAATGATGTCCAAGATATTTTTATGGATTAAACTTCTTTTAATTTCTCTCACGATGTTTCGAGACCATTCCAGGTCCCTTCATCAGGTGAACTTCATGAAGTTCACCTGATGAAGGGACCTGGAATGGTCTCGAAACGTTGTGAGAGAAATTAAAAAGAAGTTTAATCCATAACAATATCTTGGACATCAATGTACAACTTCTAAATGCCACTGAAAGACATAATACGACAATGGTCTGTAACTAATCAAGTCTCCAGCAACTAATCCCTTTAATCGCCTTGTATGACAAGAATGGGTTGATGAAGATCAATTCTAATTCAGATCTTCACATGAACTAACAAAACGTATTCACAGAAGTATCATTTAAGATAGTCATCACATCTTTGACACTGAAGAACTGAAGAGACTCTACTGTCAGCACAGCTTAGAATTGGTCTTCAGCAACCCATGCTTGTTGTAAGAGGCGACGAATGGGTTAGGAAGGTCAGACTTGGTGACTTGGTTGACATACGTCATTGTATCCTAATTGAGTAGATCGATGCTCATTCTGTTAATCACTGGATTGTCTGGTCCTGACTGGATTACATTCAGACCACCATCAAAGAGGTGGAATATTGCTGAGTGCAGCGTTAAACATCAAACAAATGATAATAAGGGCTTCAAAAGCCATAAAGAACATAGAAAAACCACTGCACATTATTATTATAGCTTAATTATGCATGTAAAAATATATAATGAGACATTCTGGAATGGCAAATAATAGCATATGCTATACTTTTGTTAAGTACAGTGAAAGGGTAAGTGGAAGGAAATGTTTGAGTCTGTGGTAAAAGTATCGAATTCCTTGTACACTCGGTGCACATGCAGCAAAGGCACATAACCAGTGTATGAAATAAGCCAAAAATCCAGCCAGACATCAGGGCTGCTAACTTCAAAATGTTACCAGCCCAAAATGGCTTTAACCAGACCAAATTTGTTGAATTTACTCGGATGTATAGAACATCTAAAAATTTTACCAGACCATCGGGCTGATGAGCTGTAAATTTAGACCGTCCATCAGAAATCTAGCCCATCTCGGGCGTCCGGACGGGCCTTATTTCATACACTGACATAACATATGCCATAACATTATGATATTATACTGATGTTTTCATATTGGCCTTATTCAGTCCAAGGTCAGTCATATTGGTCTGAGGCAGGTTGTACTAGCCCTCAGCTTGTCAAGGGCCAATAAGACTCACCAAGGACCTATAACAAGATCAATATGAAAACATCCATTTAATGACATACTTATTGATTGACTACCAAAACAATATGTTTCAAAGTAGTTCAAGGAAAAGCTAAAGTGTCACAGTTATCGGAAATCAAGATCCCTGGTCTAACAAAGCTAATGACAGCAGGCTATCATCTTGTTGTGATTGCAATGTGATGAATGCAATCACATACAAAAGTCATATTGGTCCTCACAAATTAAGTATTGGTCAGTTAAAATCTTGTATTGGCTCTACGAAGCATTTTTGTGATACAGGCCAATTTAAGCATATTCCTGAAAGTCGATTGATAACCACAGAAAGAATGAACCATGTTTTACTGCATCTCAAGTGGGCACCGTAACCACTGGGCTATCCCGGGATAAAGGCTGACACACAGTGTACTTGACACGGATCATGGTTGTGGAATAAAACATGACTGTGCAATTAAAAGCAAAGAAAGATGTTTGTTTCCACTTCAGTTCAAAACAATAGATGATAAAAGACATGATAGTATTATTACCCCTGTTTCCATGAACCAATATCTGGGAAAAGTAAGACTGTTGTTAACAAAACCAGATAAGGAAATGAAACTGTTCCTGGACACTGACAAAACTCAGTTCATGAGTACACATAGAACAACAATTTGCGAACAGTTAGTTAAATGTCGGGACATTGTTGGATACTTGTACTTTTTGACAAAGTTTATTTATTCCTAATCATGACCAGGCAGGTCAAGGATAAATGATGATGTATTATTGAGCTTGCAATGTGTTTCAATATTCAGTCATCATGATAAGTGATATATCATCAACTTCGCCCAGTTTGGGTTCCTGTGTACACCTGGTGGGAACAAAGGAAATTCCATGTGGTGTGGCCTATGTGACCACACATGACCCGTGTCATGTACCGTTACCTACATCCTAGAGCTGGACACGCTAATCAACATTAAACGGCTTTGCCAGCATCCCATGAAACCATCACGAATACAGACATGAATGGACAATGGTTAGGTCACTGGAATATAATGGTATGGCAATTAAATGTTGATATGACAGTTGGAGATATAATTAATCGATCTGTGATCTAACAGCTCAGCTGTTCTGAATATCGCTGAGAACAACAAACCAAGGCGATTGTCAAAACAAGCTAGTTTGCGGGGAGAATGGGGGACTGTGGGGTGGAATACAGTACCTCTGATCTTGTTTTGACGTGGTGGCTAAAATGATTATGATGGTTCATCTCGCCGTGCCATTAAACTCAAGATTTTTGTCCACACATCCATGTAGCGACAGAAAATGAACAAAAGAAAATAATAACATGAACTGCTCCGACGAAGTCAATATGCAACAAGCCATTTGATTAGTCAATTCCTCGTGACGAAATTGAGGCAAATGCGCGATTATAATTTCATGTTGTTGTTTATCAGATGTCGATTTTAACAGTATTCAGCTGCAAAAGGTTAGAAAATAAAACTCTTTCTATTTCGATGCTTTATTTTTATCGATTTCGGCTTCAGTTGGGAAATGTGGAGATGTTTCTGCATACAGGTTCCGTAATCTCGTCCAATCAAAACGCCGCTTACATTGCTGGGCACCAGCTGATGAAAACTACTCTTCCCAATGTTTTGATTCGAACATGACGTCATAATACGGGAAAGTGTGCTTCCCCTCTGTGAACCAATGAAATTACAACTAGCGGGAGATATAAACAGGTGCTTGGCGATATAATGGTACCATCAATATCGCCTTCGTGATCAGTTTGGCTAATAAGAACACGTGAAATAGGTTAGCTCTACGGATCCACCAACCAAAACTTACGTATTTGTGGAATAAAATTAATAATGTGAGAAGAACATTTATATTATCCCCGAATCTGATAACTAATTTAATTACGTATAAGACAAAATATTATGGATAATAATATATTGTCTTATGGAGAAGCATGTACAATGTGAATGACCCCCCCCCCCACACTAAATTTATGTACAAAATATGTTACCCCCCCTCCCTGCATGTCATGTACAAAATCAATGACCCCCTCCCCTAGCTCCCCATAACAAAATGGGTACCCCTTAAAATCATCATCTCTCTCTCTCTCGCGCACGAACGCACGCACGCACGCACACACACACACACACACAAATAAATAAATTATGAACGGTCTCTTATACCTGAATACCAACTTCTATATGCCTCTCAAGAACCTAATTTCATTATAAGAAGAAGCTTTTGACATGAGATTAGTCGAGACACGAGCTTCGTAAAATCATTAGGAAACATGTAATGTATTATAACTCGATATACGTGTATCACTAATGTATTTATTATTCCCATTTTATGATGTAGGTGTTAGTAAAATGTAGCTATAATCCCTTTTTGTGAAAACAATTTGTGAAGCTGAAAGGACAACATGTCATCAATAATGTTCCTTTGTGATGTCATTATCATTTTGACCCTATGAGATACACTTCTAAAAAAGAAACGCATAAGCCATTTTTAGAAGATTTTTTGCGTTTGAGTGTATTCAGTATAGATTAGTAAATCTACATACATAAACACTACCTTTTGACAATTCCGCTGTGTAAGATAAAAGTAATTAATCAATCAGCGTGTTATCGGTTAATCCTTTGATCGATGTTTATAATGTTGAATATTTACTCCAGACACAAGAAATGCCAAATGGGAACCTTTATCGGGTAATCTAAGTGTGTTACCACTAATTATACCTGTTATAAATTCATTAACTGACCATCAAGTGAATGATGACAAATAACATGTGTAGGTTTATACCACCTAACACGGGTTACAACAAGGGAGTATTAATTGCTGTATTGCATGTGAAAACTTATGGGCCGACACTGTTTTGAGAACACAAACAGATTTTTACATAACATGATTAAATATCGAGGTAAAAAACACAGAAATGGGATCAATTTGGATCAGTCATTATACAAATAGGGCCTAACGACACCAATCGATTTTGACAGAATTGTCTATGAAAACAAGTTGTAACTCGGAAACTAGGCAAAGCAGGAGACAAAATTAAATGACAGTAGATTGTGAGAACATATAGCTTTCATTTTCCACAACAATTTTCACGATTTCAGGTTTATACAAGCCTGTAAACAAGATAATTTACCCCCTAAAATGTAGATGAATTCTGCATCGGCCCTCAAAGCTATTCCTCATATGACGTCACAGAGTCGCGCCGCTCTGATTGGTTGAAATTTCGTTCGCGGGTGAGAATTGTGCACTGTTGTCAAAAAGGTCGATTTAAGTCAATTAAAGGTCGAAATGAGTAGTTTTAATGACAGGGTTTCATTTATAACGATGCCAGTTAGTGATTTATGTATTTGTACCCCCTAGGGTTTATGTGACCTTTAAGAGCAATTATGTCATGTAATTTCAATTGTAAACATGTGAAATTTCACACGTCTATAGACAAAGAGTTCGCCAACATAACAGGAGCCTATATTGGTGTGTTTCCGTTTACTTGAGTCCACAAGATGGCGTCAAAGTCAGCCACTATTGGCAGCAATTACTGCTCGGCACCGTCTCGGCACAGACTGGATAAGTCGACGAAGTCGTTCTTGCGGGATTCTTCCCTACTGTTCCTGCAATGCGATGGCCAGTTCATCCTATAGGTGTTCTATCGGGTTTAGATCTGGTAATCTGGAAGGCCATGGCAATACATTGACGTTAGAATTGGCAAGGTAGCGGACCGTATGTGGAGTAGCGTTGTCATGCTGGAACAACTCCCTCTGTCGGTCCATACTCGGAAGTATGTGACGTGCAAGGACTTCGTTGACGTACTGATTTGCTGTCAAATTCCCCTGAACCACTGGATCAGATCTGTATGTGCTGGATATCTCACTCCACACCATGACACTGCCTCCACCGAATCTGTCGACCTGTCGAATGCAATTAGGGGCAAAAAACGGTAAACCCACTGTCTTCCATTTCGCCGGTGAAGAAGAAATCGTGATTCATCACTGAACCGCCTCCAGTTCAACTAAGGTTCCAGTTTCGGACTCTACGACACCTCTGCAACCGATTGCGCTGATAGAAGTCCCTCAAAACGGGGGCGACAACAGGCCTTCTTGGTCGAATCCCCACTTCACGCACTTCCTGATGGTGTGATCGGAAATTCTTCTCAAACCAGGGATGTGGCAAGACGATGACGCACGTGAGCAGCCTGGATGTAGCGGTCCGGGGCCTGGGTGGTAACTCTTACACGGCCGCTTCTCGGGCGATCTTGGGCGGAATTGGTCTGCAGGAAACGGTCCGAAAGGCGAGATATGGTGCTCTGATGAACGTTGAATTGTCGGGCAACTGCAGACTGCGACTCCCCAGCTTCAAGGCGGCCTATGGCGATGTTTCGATTGGCGGCACTCAGTCGTGGCATGATGATTTCGTCTTTTCCTTGCAAAAACGAATGGGGCTACCGTGCATGCGGCCGCCTTTTGGAGCCCTAATGCCTGATGCCTCAGCCTCCTTGATGTGTTGTACCTGATGTTGCCGCCGCTCGGAGGTATAATGTTTGATGTTGCCACCTCTTCGAACCATAATGTCCGATGCTGCCACATCTTGAAACCACAATGCCTGATGTTGCCTCCTTTTGGAGACATCACGCCTAATTTTATTGCCTCTTGAGGCCACCGTGCAGGCTGCTGCCGCCTTTTGGAGCCTGATGCTGCAGCCTCTTTGATTTGTAATACCTGATGTTGCCGTCGCGCGGAGGTATAATGTTTGATGTTGCCGGCTCTTGGAGGTATAATGCGTGTTCAGACCCGGGTTAGAATTTGTCTTTATCAACCAATGCTTGTCGTAAGTGGCAACTAACAGGATCGGGTGGTCATACTTGCTGACTTGGTTGACATATGTCATCGTATCCCAAGTGCGTAGATCGATGCTTATGCTGTTGATCACTGGATTGCCTGGTCCAGACTCGACAATTTACAGACCGCCGCCATACATAGCTGGCATATTGCTCAGTGCGGCGTTACACAACAAACAAACCAATTAAACGTGTTCCGAACCGATTTCCAGTCCCCGCCCAACAGTGATACATCTGGCAAAGACGACAGTGAATCGACTTATCATCCGCCAATGCTCTTTACATGTAAGTGCATGCACGCTACTCTTTTACATACCCCACTTGAAAAGCAACGCTGACGATGTAAACAATTTATTGAAGAATGATGAAAACAACAATCCTTGACTTGATTCAGCAGCCCGTCTCCGAATCCATCAGAAGAGTCACGCGCCGTTCACAACTTCCAATAAATCGATACAGTGTGATGTGGCGTCGCCTGCCGCCCGCCGCATGCCCGACAGGCACCGGTGTCTCTGCACATGGACAGTGGTAGTAAAGTAACCAGTGGATGGTGGCAAGGCTCAGATTGAGGCCATTAACTCTATCACCTTTCTAAGACGTCATAATTGCTTTCCATGTTTTCTATGTAACTTTCAAGATGTATACCACGCATTTCGTAATTTCTCTACCATTGTGAAGTTGAACAAATCAAAACTATGTAACGACAGATGGCCTCGGGCTAAATACATAACGCTTTTTCGCTCAATGCCAACAGTATTACTTGAAAATACCTGCTTCACTCTGCTAATTACTGTGTACGGTGAAATTACGACATCCATGTTCCTGAAGACTTCATTAGCACGTCACCCGTGTTCAGGTAGTCAATGATTTATGCATGTAACATCGCCTATGATACCAATATGAAATATATCACCACCCAGTAGCCATGTCGTGTTTGCTTCACATTACTCACCGCCAATCCTGCCTGTATAAGTGCTTTTGTCCGACAGTTTATGTTTCATTTACGTACTGGATGGACACGAGATTTGTATGTTTTGTATTGATTGTTTATTCCTTTAACAGTGCCACACATTTGTTCTTATGTAGGTAGGTGTTGTAAACTGAGGTGAACTGAGAAACTGAGAAAGAAATACCGCGGCTGCTTAGGATGTTTGTTTGAAATTTCAACGACTTCTTTCTCTTGCAATTAGATCTACTTTGATAATTTATTAATAATTACTTAACGTTATTAACAAACTCGACGGGGAGAATGATTTTTTTCTTATTTATTCTTCATTTGGGAAATGTGTGTCGGCGTATCCGCATCCAAGTAATAAAACCACCTTAAATGGATTAGCCTCAACGCATAAGGCAGTGTTCTACAGCTTCTCAACACGCATCCTTGTCATTGGGGAACCCTGCTGTAATGATGAAACCTAGCGCTAATAAGACGACCACTTATCTGTTTTTTACTTGTTCTGCAGTAAAGTGCCACACTAGCATTTTATCTCTCTC